TGTGACGCAGGCTTTTGTGAACTCTATCTTATATTGTTGGCATTCAGCCGGCTGGACATTCCCTTGAACGCTTGATCAAGCGTTTTTGAACCCAACGCTGTCCTGCTTGAATGTTGAATGTGCTTTCACATTTTTATTCTATAGGGTATGCCCCGGTGACAGTCATCACTTATCTCGACAAGCTGAGAGACGAGGAAGACAAAAGCAACGCTTTTGACATGGCTTCGTGGGCGATTGGTAGTTCCAGCGAAAGAACCTTCTTCATTTCGAATTACACGCATACTAGCAGCCTCACGTCCTTAACAGTGGAGCGAACGGCTCTCGACATCTTGGACTTTGCCTTACTTTCTGCTGAAAGGTTCATACGGATCAAAAAGCAGCGAGAGAAAAATCAGAGGGAAAGGGAAATTGCAGCTGGAGGTAATTTCTTGGGCGGTGACTCAAGACGGCACTTTTTTCTTCCGTTTGTTTTCACTACAGTCTTTTTGTAAAGGAACAACTCAGCAATGTCATAACAAAGCTCTTTGAAATATTTTCCAGTCGGCTCTCTCATTAAGAAAGCGCATCTTTAACCGCATGTGTAAATCAAATGTCGCTCAACAAATAACATACACTTGATGGCAGGCCAGAGGGAAACAGTTTGATTCGTTTCTAAGGAAGAAAAAATTGTACAAATATATGAAGTAAATATCCGCAAGCGGTCAACTTTCGTGTGGGAAACAGCGTATTTACCTTCCAACGTAATAGATTTTGCATTGCCCCCTCAAAAACTTTCGCGGGAAAAACTATTCTATTTTTAGACATCATGTGACCTCGATGTATCCAATAAGAGGTCGCCCTGTTAGGGAGGAGTCTCTTCTCTTGGCCAAGTACAGTCGTTAATATATAATCTCCAAATATAAGTTTCTCTAATACCCTTTGCTGTATATTTGATCTTCCTCATATTCCTTGTGTGGAGCCCATAACAATTTCCTAATTACTCAAGAGTTTTGTGTGCAATAGAGCTTTTTCACTCATAGGCCAGCATCTGTGCTAATTTATTGGCAGAAAAGGAAGCGTTTACATAAGAGAAGATTTCAACTTCCAGAAGATCTTCTTGGTAACCAATATGGCCGCCGTGACGTCATGTCAAAATGCTCAATAACAAAAGAGGCTAAGATGAATCTTGAAATTTTTCTTATAGATTTTTTGTAAAACTTTGCAACAGACAACACAACAACGTAGCATAGAGTATTTCCAGAGAAAATGCGAATAAGCACTGCAATTCAATTAAGAGCTAAACACGTTGTGACGTGATATTCATTCCGATCGCGAAAAAAATTATATATTCATAGTATAGTTCAGTCTATGTGTAATCCATGTGTTTTAATGTATTTACATTAAAGACCGATCTGCTTACGTACAAGAGGTCCAAGGGTGAAGGGTTTGCATACGAACATACTAGGTCGAGCCACCTTAACGTGCTTTTTTTTTATTAGGAGCCAGTAGTGGGGCGGAGACAGTAGAACAGTTTTTTGCCCGTCTGAGAAAGAAGTACAACTGGACTGACCAGGGCAAAGTGAAAGATGTGGTGTCGGAACTACGTAAGAATGAGATCAATACCGTCAAGGTTCTGAAGGATTTATGGGAAGAAGTCAAGGGCGAAATTCCGCTGTCCATTGGCATGAAGAAATGTTTGGAAGTTGAAATCCAGAAAGTTTGATAAGCTAAAGGTGTAACAGGAAACCCATTCAATTTTGTTTACGATATGACGTTAGATAGTAATAACAAGGAAAGAATCAGTGCAACAAGTACTGCTCAGATTTAGTAAAAAACGTTTTTCTGAACCAAAATTTAACAGTCTGAACCATTTTTGCTGACTTTATGTTTGCGGAAATTAGGAAAGCGATTTGTAAGGGTGCCAGTAGTTTACTGATATTCAATAATCAACGGCTCATTTACTTAAAGCAATGGGTATTATGGTTATCGTGTAATAGAACTGTTTAAACTTGCAAAATAAACACTCATTTAAGGTCTCTTTCAGGTTAATAATGTAAATCAACTTAACGAAGCAACTGATCCCGGCCTCGGTTCGATGCCGAGGGCCATTCGGTAAATATTCGCCGCCGTTTACCTTCCTCGCCAGAAAGTCCTTGTTTCTTCGAGTCTAATTTCAGGACGAGACAAGTTAGGATATGAATCAGTATATAACGTGAGAGAATGAGAGGGTCATGTAGGAGCTGCTAGGAAGAAAAGTCACCAATGGCGCGTTTCCCTGATCCCAAACAATACTAAAACAACTGGAAGAATGACATGTCATTGTTTCCTGCGACCAATTAGGAGAGACCTTACGAACAGCTCCTACACTACTCGGGTCGAATGAGGTGGTGTTACTACGCAATACTTGATTGGGTGAATGGAATCCTCGTTCTTTATCATAACATGCGGCTCAGGCGCACCGGCGTCGTTTTTTGCAGGGGAGGCTGGGCAGCAGTGCGCAAAGCATCATGGGACGAACGGTCAAAATTTGCAACAAACCATCGAGTTGACCACTTCTCGACCATCCGTAAATGTTTGCTTAATTGTCATTTCTTTACGCCGTAGTGGTAGAGTTATCTTTCAAAACGTCTCATGGCTCTTAAGCGTGTGCGCAACCTATGCATGCAACAAGGTTCCTTGGAAAGGATACTTAGTGCTTAAAAATTAAGAAATCAATAAGACTTCGCGTAATGTTGAAAACTGAGCTGAGCTCCATAACCAAACTAATGTCATGAGCAGTGCGTCTAAATAACTCCTTCTCGATCCAGTCCTTCGTTCTGACGACACCGTTCAGTTAATGCCGAAACAGTCTAACAACTATATGACAAATCGATAGTTGCTTCATGGATAATATTTCTATTATCCATGGTTGCTTGATGCTTTCCTCGCTTTAAGTTAAAGGCCAAAACGAGCTTAAGCCGAGTCCGTAGCTATACATCCTAGCTTTATAGCTATTATGCTCATTACGAGGTCAAAGACCTCCATGACAGTCAAAAGACTGGCACCAATGCAGAGTCCAAGCAAACCTCCGGCCTCACCTGGTGAGTAAAAAACAGGTAGGTTTTAATTTACGTTTTTGTGTTACCGTAGAATTGCGAAAATAACGGCCCCTGGTACTTTCGAATTTAGCAGGCAAAAGGGGCCTCTACTTTAGGGTAGTCGTTACTTTCAGATGGTTAAAAACGTTAGTAATTCACAGTCGTATCAGAAACGTAAGGTCCCTATTATACCGGAGGCGACGACAAGTGTAGCCTGTTCCAGGCTTTCAGATACTGAGACTGTCCAAAGAAAAGTTAGCAGTTCCCCGCTTTTTCCCCTCCACTCTCAGCTCCTTTTTGCGCCACTCTCCACAACGCCTGGACAAGGTTACAACAAATGTGGGTTGAGATTATTGTTCCTTCCCTCCCTTTTTCTCTGGGTAATCCGGATTTCTGCTCTCCATAAAAAAAAAAATTCCAAAAATTCCAGCTGAATATTGCACGTGGAACTGGGTCGATGTTGTGTTAGGATGCATCATGGGATTGTTTTGGGGAGGCAAACGCTTTCTTCGTTGGCTTTTACGGGGGGAGGGGACGGGGTTGCTAAGGAGCTTTCTCTTTCACTTGCCATCTTTACCCTCTCTTACCCCCTATTCAACACTCTTCTGAAAAACCCCTTCTTTGCGCTCTGTATGCGTACCTGCGGACGTCGATTTCGACGCGCGATTTTCATCAAATCGTCACTTTTTCAGTCGAAATCTTCGCATGTCAAGAATTGTTTTGCGTGGTAACGCTCCTAGCGGAGCTCAGCGCAACCACAATGACGACGGAAACGAGAAAATAAGCGAAACAAAAACTCTTAACGTGCAGCGCACTTTTTGGCGGTTTTCTTTCTCGTCATTGCACGACTCACGTTGTCAAAGTTGATTGAAATGACATTGCGATCGTCGCTTTACTATCTAATGGGGTTTGTGTACTTACCCAAGAGACTTTCTGTTCCATACGCCGGTTGCTGTGTCAGTACTTTGACTTGCAGGTCTTGAAAATACACGTTTAATTCCAAGACGTTGGAGCTGTAACGATGAAGAAACATGGCTTCATTTTAAAGGTATGCAAAAAAAAATTTTAACATACAGAAAAAGATTACTCAATGAGAGAGTTTCTCGAATTAATCATAAACAATCAGTCGTTTTCATCTGTTCGAAGGTTTTTAAATCTCGACCTTATTTTAATAAAGACAAATAGAAAGATAAATAAAACTAAAAAAACGGGTCAAATACGAGAAAAGATAACTATTTAAGAGAAATTAGGCCGGCAGTGCACAGTTTGCTAAAATTCTAGAGCAAAGCCAGTTGAATCGTTCTATAAAAACGATAACGTTAACATGTACTCCAGGTTTTAAAGCAGCACTTTTAAATTCGTACCCAGATCTCCCACGGCCTAGGGAAAAGGAGATCTGATTTTTAAACTTAAGACAGAGTCGAAGTCACGACCTCGGCAGGAGACTTCTACTTCAGATTAGTTCCTTTGATTTTAGGTACCCTATTAAAGGGCCACAAAGCCAAAAAGGGTTCCTATTAACGGATATAGCACTAAAGAAACGATACACTAACCCTCCATAAGAGGTTTGTGTTACAAACCGAGATATCGTGCAAATAAACTTCACCATTTGTTTTGTTTGTTTTTTTTCTGAGTCCTCTTTTCGTAAAGATCAGTTTCATGTTTTTTCTAATTAGTATTCAACATTTTTAATTGCCCAGTCTTCGCAAGATCTTACAAGCCCCACTATTTTTCGCTGTTTTTTTGCCTTGGCTGGTGTAGGATCATCAGCTGGTTGAAGATCTTTGGAAGTAAAGACCATGGAGACAACCCATCTAGAAGATCGACGGCCATATTTGATTGAAATCACGAAAGTAAGTTTACAAGAAAATAAACTCAAAAATTATCTAAGAGTCTAAACGCGCTGCCTCACTCATTATGAGCTTCTGCACGAGTTCAACTCTTCGACCGTTTTTGTAGATAGGGAGAAAAGGCGTTTTTGAGCGACGGGCGTCAAGCGGAAGTGAGTCTCTTTCCCTTTTAATTTGCCATAACGCTTCCAAATTTGTATTGCTGAGTGCCTTTAGTCTCATGAAGACGATTTAACCAAACATTTGGGAAAATCATTGCCCAAGAATGAAAACACTGCACTTCCGCTTAACGTACGTCCCTCCAAAATGTCTTTGCTTAGGCTCACTGATAACCATTTGCTCGCTGCTTTGGTCCTTGAAGGAGTGGGGGTCCCGAAATCACCCTCCTGTCTTGTACCTGATAAATTCACGGAATTTCAGTCTTTCTTCTTTGGAAACATTTCCAACATGTTTGTTCGTCGCTTCAATGATGTATTTCTCACTCGGGAATGTTGCGAAAGACAGAACTGGGTTAAAACTGATTGTCTCACAGGGAACTGGACAGGTACATCTTTCACCGGTTCCTTTGTAAAAATTGTCTAAAAAGAGAAAAGGAGTTTAAAAATTATCATAAGCAGTAATGAATCATGGAGTATTTTTTCCTTTGGATGGGCAAGAATTGACGGGAGTGTCTTGAAATATTAAAAAGCCTGCAGGTTTCGGCCACACTTTGTCGAGAGTTTTTACACTTTACTCCTGGCCCCTTTGACCGCAGAGCCCGAAAGTGAGTACCACGTTTCTT